AAACAGATAGTGAAATTCAAAACAATATGAGATCATGGGAAAGGAGTCTCATGGGTGGATGATGGACAGCAAGGGGCTGGGTTAGACTGGATCATACAGGCAACATCCAATCAGCATAAGGTTAACACCCAGAAGGTGGAGTAAGGGCAGGGCCGAGAAATCCCTTTGTCTAGAATTGCTTATATTTATTGCTTCCTCCTCCTGTGTATGTTATCTCAATGGATTTAACCATGGAGTTAATTTCTGGAGTATAATATGCTTATATTGCTTTTGAAATGTAACTTCTGGATCTGGAAACATGGATCTGTAACTCTTCTGTTCTATACATCAGCAAGATGTGATCCTATGGTGGACTGTATATTTTTTCTTTGCTTATTTTTATTTTATGGAACAATAAAGCTCTACTTTGGACCTACATGATTTGTCTGCATGCTTTTAACATGAGAAGGCTGATGGAAGTACACCACACCAATAAATCAACATTTTCTCACCACTTTCTGAATATTTTCAAAATATTCTTTCCATCATAGTTATGATTAGTGATGCCAATGTCAGTTTTAAGTGAGCTACCCATGATATTCAGCCTATTTGGGAGATTTTGACAGCTTCAGTATTTAGACTAAACCCCCAAGTGGATTCAGCGCCCAGTGACTTTGGAACTACCAGCTCCCGTTGGGATTCTGTGAACTGTCATGAGAAAAAGTGAAACTTTTTCTAAGCTCTGGAACCATGTGATATTCCTCCTCCACAATTTAGTGAGACCACATTCCCATAACTATAAAGGTAACTAAAATGTTATGTTGATATTATAAAATGAGTGAAATCCTTCTTTGTTGAGTTACAGTCATAAAGTAATGTCGTTATACATTAATCACTATGCAAAGAAATTATTATGGAAAGGAGTTATAATATAATTAACACCCCACAATGAGATACTTTGAAGTTCTGATTCATATCACATTAATCTCTTCTTAAAAACCCTCATCTGCTACCATTTCTCTTTTCTTTTCTTTTGATGAAATAGTAGTTCTTTCCATCTTAATATAGTACAAAATATCTTAGTTTTATCAACATCATTTAAAATCCCCCAAATAATTATTCCGTTTAAATAAAATCAGCAAATTAAATGCATTTCATAAATGTTTTCCATGGAAATAGTCTCCTATGGTTATGTCTGCCTTGGTCAAGGACGTAAATTCCTTATTGACTTTATTAATGAATCCACCTCCAGTCACAATTTATATGCAATATATAACCAAGGGAACTCTAGCATCAACCACATGCTCCCTTTATTCATGGAAGCATTATCTCCTAAAATGGAAAAAGGAAGGAAGTAATAATTCAGCAAAAGGAGCTGCTTCTTCAGAGCATCCATTCAGTTGCCATAATTCTGCAAGTCTTGCCTCTGCGATGAGTAAGGATTCATTCTCTCACCACAACACTGTTTCAGAATTGACCCAAGAGGGCACCTCAAACCACCAGCTACATAAGGTGACAAAGCAGTGAGCAGGCTAGCCATTACAAAAGTCTAAGGGAAAGGGGCCCTGTGGTACCTCTTGGCCTACACATATGGGGTCCTTGTAGCAGAAGTACTTCAGAAATCAAACCCTATAAGGAATGGTGGAGAGACTTTAATATGTTTCACCTGGAGAAGAAAAACTTGAGTGGTGATTATGTCCGTTTCTGACATGGTTTTGGTGGAAAGTGGAATAGTTTCTTCTTCACAACTATATTTGCATGCATTAAGTGTTGTTGTTATGAACAGACAGGCAGGTTCTAGGGATCTAAATACATGCTAGGCACCCAAAAGGGTCTGATTCCTAGGCCTATGGACATGGGAGGTGAAGGAGGCATGGAATTTTAGCTAACCCCAAACTCCCCTCTGCATTCTCATTTAAAAACAAGACAGGCTCCTATTGATCTCACTAGGCTGTATTTGCCCTCCTTGCTAACATACTTATCTTCTGGCTGTAGATGTGGAGTCTATCAATAATGTACTTACAAGTATTACATCTCACAAAAGAATTGCACCATTTGTTAAAACCATATGGTGCTACTGAAATGAATGCAATATGAGTATCTATAATCCTCAGTTGATTCCCAGATGTTTTCTTAAACTGAAATGAACATTTGAGTTTATTATACTAATATAGGTCTTGCCATGTCTTTAAATTTATGGCTTTAAATGAGTGGAGTCAATGTCATTATCAGACTGGTTGCAGGTCAATACTAAGAGCCCTTCATTAGTTACAAAAGACAGAAATGGTTTTTCCTTATAGATTTTTCCTTTTTAATTGTCAACTAAGATCTGAATTTCCCTAGGACAGGGTTTATTGAAAAGCCAGTGAAGATTTCAGTACATTTTGATGTCCCTCTTTATTAAATACAAAGTTTGATGTAAGCTTTCAGTTTGGGAGTGAGCATTTGTATAAAATTTGTGGTTGCATGATCCATTAAGAGGGACACCCTGTGAGATTCGCACTGAAATTCTTTGAATATGAATGTCTTCAGCATTAGGGTCAGACATTGCTTGTTTATATCTACATGGTGCAACATATTGTTATCTATTTTCTCAGAGGGATGAAACCATGCTTTTAGTGACATGTTCAGACACTGAAAGCTAGCATCCAAGTAATCATATTTATTTTTCAGCTACAAACTTTTCCAGAGCACTGGAGGGAGTGAGAAAAGGAGATAAAGTGCATTATTTCATAGAAGAGGCAAAAGTCACAATAATAATAATAATAATAATAATAATAATAATAATAATAATAAGTATTTGTACCCCACCCCTCTGTGCACAATCGGGGCAGCTAACAACAATTAAAAATACATATAATATAAATCCAAACAAACCCAATACCCACCCACCCCTTAAAAAAGTATTAAACCAAACACAATTAAAACATATAGTCAGTAGCGGCCTTAATAGTAACAGGAGTGATGGGAGAATTTGAAGTGGGGCATGGTGTAGTGGTTTGAGTGTTGGACTATGACTCTGGAGACCAGGGCTCAAATCCCGGCTTGGCCATGTAAATTCGCTGGATGACTTTGGGAAAGTCACACTCTCAGCCTCAGAGAAAGGCAATGGCAAACTCCCTCTGAAGAACTTGCCAAGAAAAAAAAAACGTGATAAGCCTTAGGATTACCATAAGTCAGAAACAACTTGAAGGCACACAACAACAACAACAACAACAACAGCTCTCTATCCCCCCATGCAATATTATGCCATTACATAGCATCATTCTAACCAAACAATTATGGGAGAACTAGGCAGCCTGCTTGTCTGCTCAGCATCAACAAGACTTGATGCATGAGAACATGGTTGTGAAGAAGAAAATAGGGAAAGAGCAGAATGTCACTGCTACATTCTCACTGAATTTTCTGCCCTCCTCCAAACTTCTTTGTTTTTACAACGGAAAAATGACCTCCCATTTTCAGAGCCTGCAAATGAAGCTGTGAAAACAGAAGGGTGTTTTTCACTTGCATGGCACTTGAGCAAAATATTGAGCATTGGGAATGCAAGCCTCACCAGATCTCAGCATCTAAACTGTCCAGACATGATGTAACATTGTTTTAGGATTTGGAGGAAATATAAATGATGGGCACAAGCTTGTGAGGACTATGGAAGAGTGGCAGAAGGGTTACCGTCTGCACTAAAAACTCACCTTTAAATAGCAAGAAAGGAGAAATAGTTTTCCCTTTGGGCAACACATCAGCCCAACACTTTATCTCATGGAAAAATACAGTACTTTTATGGGGCAAGCTGGGGCTATTCTAATATCAATTTGGCAGCTTTGGTAGCTGCCTTGTGACTAAAATTAAATGTTGAGGAAAAAATGTATGCTGTTGGATGCTGTATCACTGATAGTTAAATGTGAACACACCTCATTTATCAGTACTACTTTGCTTCTTACTTATAGGAGTTATCTTTAGGAGTGAGGATCAGTACTTTGCACCTCTTTTGCAAAAAATGGCATTGCAAGTTTTACATAATAAATACATATATACACATGGATCAAGCCAGTGTGGCATAGTGGTTTGAGTGTTGGTCTATCACTCTGGAGACCAGGGTTTGATTCCCAGCTCTGCCAAGAAATTCACTGTATGAACTTGGTGAGTCACACTGTCTCAGCCTCATGAGAAGGCAAGGGCAAACCTCCTCTGAACAAACCTCACCAGGAAAACCCAATGGTAGGATTGACATAGGTTGGAAATGACTTGAAGGCAATGGCAAACCTCCATTTTGTTGAGTTATACTGAGACTTGGGGTTTGTCTACACCAGGGGTAAGCAACCTTTCCCCTTTAAGGGCCAAGGGACTTCAGCTCCCAGAATCCCAGGAACTATTGGCCAACATGGGACTATTGGCCAACATGGCTGAGGCTTCTGGGAGCTGAAGTCCCTCAGCCCTTAAAGGGGAAAGGTTGCCTACCCCTGGTCTACACTGCCTTAAAACCCTTTAAAAACCCACCTGACTCTGGGGCAATAAGACTACACAACACATGACCCTATCTGCCCCAGATTCAGGTTATCTTACCTTATCACAGAGTTTTTAAACTCTAGAGAGTTCTCTGGAGCTGTTCCATCATTTTAATGTCCAGGCCAGGTCCCATACTGAGTAGTGAAATTTCCCCCTCTTGCTTCCACAGCATCAGCAATGATGATTCACAGCACTTTCTAAGATCAGACAAAGCACCTAGATCATATGTTGGGCACTTTATTTGTCTCAGAGTGATGGGTGCACCAGTGGAGCCAGTATTGCTGAGGGAGGAAGAGAGAAAAACCTCACTGTTCAGGCCAGGTACCAGTTTGGACAAGGTCTGAACATGGAAGTGGGGGTGGCAGGGGTGGTGGAGTTGGTGGGAGCAGCATTGGGGGTGATGGCAGAGTATCGGTGGTGGGAGCAATGAGGGTAGCAGAGATGGTTGCAGTGGCAGCAGTGGACCCAGGAAACTTGGCAGGGACAGTTGAGTAGTGTAGACAATCTATGTGATGTCCCTGTGGAGAAAAAGGTATGCAGGGTGACTCCAGGTACGATGGGGAGGCAAGAAGGGTGGGAGTCTGTTCAGACTTTTGCCCCCAGTATAGACTAGTCCTATACAATGAGAGGAGATTGAAATTGATGAATTCCATATTATTTCATTAACATGGTATTTTAAAAAAAAAATCAGAATGCTGATGTACAGAAATGGGGGAAGAGCTATATGTCATTATGAAGACTTGCATCTTTCAGTTTCATGGCTCTTGGTTTTCACCAGAAAACATTCTGATCTCTCTCTATTTGTTTATCTTGCAAGCTGTCATGGAAAAACACACTACTTCTGTGAATGCTATTATCTATATGCTAGGGTGAGGAAAAATCAGTTCACAAATGTGTGACCATAATTGCAGCTAAACCTGTAATGGTTGATTTGAAGCAATTGATAACTAGGTGACAGCTTTCTCTTCCTTAATTATAAAAATACAATTACTATCTGGTGATTTATTTATTTTTTAACCTAAGCTTATTTTTATTAAAAAAAATAAAAAGTAGGAGAAGTATTTTCTGTTCTACAGTTGATTAGATCAGCCATGCTATCTCTTCAGTATTTTTCCCCTTCAGATTGGTTTTGATAGTAATTACTTGGGGAGTGTTTGATCTCAATGATGAATACATGATTAGTTTTTCATGAAACCAGTCAACCACACCAACTCAGCACTACTCATGTGAGACCTTGTTGATTTAGCTGTTCGAAAGAACATATTCCGTCTTGCTGCAGTTATGGGATGCTGGTCTTTGGGGAGAAAAGGGGTGGGAAAAGGGCAAGTTTATGGGTAATGATATTGCAGAGACAGATATTTAAGGTTTGCTAATTCTCGACTCAATTATGTTCATTTCCTCCTTCACTGTGCTGCCGGCTGCCCAGCTACAGAAGCAATTCGAGAAGTGAAATACATTTTTTCTCTTTTTCAAAAAGAGGTTTCTTGACACCATTGTCATCTGCAAAACCCTTGGAGAGCTTTGCCCTGATGAATAATATTTCATATGGGGAATGTTTATGTGATTTTCACGGAGTGATAACCCCGCCACCATCTAACTTTGATGCATGGAGATTGCTGCTTTTTGCTACTAAAGTGCTTTTACACACCAGCTCCTGCAAATTGACAAGAGTTGGAAATGGAAGCTTCACAAAAGTTCAGCTCCTCTTGGGGTGGGGGTTATATATTGGACCCAATATGGCTTATTTATTTAAAAGGCATCTTTTGGAAAATAAAAGCATCAGGTTTTACTATCATTGTTATTATAATCATCATCTACTTTTTAAAAAATTCAGCTAAAACACATCTTATAAGTCAGGACATGTAATTATATTTCAACTTATGCCATTTCTTCCTTGTTAGTTTTAAAATACAAGGCTTGTTCATATGAAATGCCAACCTGCTAGTGAGATCTTGATGGTTTATGTGTGATATAACATGTATTGTGGCAACATACACTATATCAGTTTTCTATCCTGATTTCCATGTGTGTAATAAAAGCAAAAGCTGGGGACAATAGTCTGCTATCCATCCTTATGTTATACCATCTGCTGTTATACAAACCAGAGAAATAAATGAGCAGCAGAAATCTGAAAACCTGCCCTTGCACCTTGCCTAATAAATGTCTGATATTGTTAATATCTCTCATTGGCTTAACTGATGTGATGACATAGAAAATTGATATATAAACTTTAATTATGCAAGGGAAGGGCTGGCAACAGAATTTTAGTAACAATGACAAATAAAATATCTCCCATCTCCTCACAAGCAAGAAATATAATGGGAAGTGATAAATATGCTATGGGTGCACTTAATAAAATATTTTTTCAATAAACACTAAAATCTGAACTGTGAAATTATAGATAATTACACACACTGAGGATCTTTTATAACTATGTGTCTGCATATTGTTACTATACTGCTCTGTGTAACATGAAGTAGTGGAGAACCTGTGATCCTTCAGATGTTGTTGGGTTCTTGATAATATCACATGCAGCCAGCATTGCTCAGGAGCAGGAATGATAGGAATTATAGTCTAAGAACATTAGGAGGGCCATAGGGTTGCCACCCTAATCTAGTATATCTTCAAAGTGTCCTTCCCAGGTGAAATTGATACAATATCTGTAAGATACATTCATTGCCATATATCTATTTTGGTGTGTGAAATAATAGATTTCATTGTTATAACAACAATCAACTTAGGGGTCATTCAGATGTCATTTTTATTTTATTTTATTTTATTAGCAGAACGATGTGAATGACCTTACACACACATTCTAGGTTTGTTATTGACACCATGGATCCGCAGCAGTGTCCATCTCTGCAAGTTTGGTTGCTCACACATGCCACCAGTCAAATAAAGATGGAGTATGTGAATATATTTGAAACACGTTCAGGGCATGCAAAGTTTAATCCTGAATGATCCCAAGTATTCACATTTGTTATTCACACTGCTGATGATGTGAATCTTTTAAAAAAAAAACTCTGTAAAAAAATGGTATCGATAATCATTGGTTAAGTGGGGCTTTTTAGCACACACACCACACCAAACTGAATTGGGTGCATTTGGGTTGCATGTGAACAACAGAGATTCAACCTGGATTCATCATGCATTATTTTCACTGTCTGAATAGCCCCTAAGAATGGGACTCCCTGCTGTCTGAGCCAGTCTGGGGACACCCTCTTTCTTCTTCATTTGCTATGTTTCTAATGACAATTTTTGAGGAAGAGGAATGATAGATTCTGTGAAAGAAGAAAAAGCAATTGGAGAGAAAGGACCTCTCTTTCAGGTACAGGGAGTAATTGGGGTACTAGAGTCCAGAATATGGGAAGCTTAGGAGTTGTGAACATCAGAGGCCACAAAGCCAGGAGATGAGAGGCAAGCCATGATCTGGAAGATGGAGCCCAAGGAAAAATGAATAAAGGGAAAAGAGGAATGGAAAGCAGAACCAGCAACTTGATAAAAGAAAGATTCATTTAGAGAGGTTGAGAAACCTGCTACAGGACCTGATGTAGAAACAAGAAGAGCTGTGTACAGTTGGGAACAGACATGGTTAAGATAGCTTTGGAGGCAATGCTAGTGAAGAAGGTTGAATTTCATATAGCAATAAGAATGAAGTTCATTTCTGATTACAAAACAGTCTTTAGTAACAGAAGTATATCTATCTGTGAGTCTCTCCAGCCAAGAAAAATGTCTCTGAAATTTTACTCCTATACAAACTAATCTTATTTTGGCATTCAGACATTTTCCCATCCTGAAGTATTCCCAGGGAACTCGTGGGATTATCAAGTACTTTTCATTCCCATTTCCCAGGTAAGTTAAAATTAACTCACTATTTCCTGAAATGAAACATAGCTCTCCATCGCCATCTTTTTGTGTTAAATCAGAACTAGCTAAGATGGCCACCACCAAAAAACATAGCAATTGTTTTCAGAACCCAGATTCAATGGATATCAAGTGAGGGAGAGTGGAATGAATGTCAGAAAAGAGAAAATGATCCTAATGTTTGGTGTAATATTGCCATAGCACTTTAACAGGTTTCAATTTTCAATTCAATTTATTCGGTCCTTGACCAGTATAACTTTAACAGGTTGACTATAACTCCTGAACAATAATTAAAAAGGGCTTAGCAGGAATTGGTAAAAGTTAATTTCTGAAACATTGCCTGTGTCTAGACCAGTGATCAGTGGGAAACCCAGGATAGTTCAAGAAAAAGTTTGGATGCAAAACCATGCATATGCAAAACTAAACCATGCATATGAAGATAAAATCAAAACAAAAAGATCTGGAAAGTTTTGATACTTCCAGGGGCTTTCCTACCCTTTCTGGATAAGTCTGTATTTCTATCTGTAAATTCATTTATTCCACTGGGAGGCAGGGGTTTACAAGGATTAGAAGAAGGTGGCTACACCAGTTGTTCCTTTCCAGCAAATTAGTGAGCAGGACAATGATACACACAGAAATGAGGAATATAAATATGTAACTTGCATATCTTCAGTGCTGAATAACCGTATGCCAGCATGAACAGTGCTCCTGAGCCATGGTGCAGTCCCTGCTCACAGACAGATTCCCC